TTTTTTACTTTAGTACATAAACTAGCAGAATTTGTTAAGCCTTCATTAAAGTGTGAATAAGATTGTTAGAGGATCAACCCTCAAAATTAAAAATGTAACAATTTAGTTTTAAAAGTTTAAAAATTAAAAAAATTAGTAAATTAAAAATAATTAATAGATGACTTTTTTACATATACTAGAATAGTATTAGATATTTATAATTAAATTGAGAAAGTGATTAACTCAATTTGAAGAAAGAATTCAAATTGAAATTTTAAAAAAAAATTAATTGAATTAAGATAAAAAATTCAAGAAGATATAAAAATATAGTAAAAAAATTTTCTTTAATCTCAATCAAATTTCTTTCTTTAGATTAACCTAATCATTCGATTTAATTATAGATATATAATACTGTTGTTGTGTATATGACAAAGTCATCCCCTAATTGTTTTTAATTTACTAATCATATGAAGTGATATATGGAATAATAATAGGGTGCCATCTTTTTTTTATATATTATTAATATATATGATAATATAACATCTAATATGATGAAAGAAAAATTTATTTTTAAATAATATATAAAATAATATTAATAATTATATAAATAATTATCTCTTAATTATTTTTTATTTACAATATTATAAGGTCTTTTGCAAAATATCAAATAAACAAGCAGCAAAATTTAGACTTTGAACCTTGAAGGGAAGCCCTAAGGAGAATGTAATAATTATGAACAATAACGTTATAATTATTAAAATTATAAAATATAATTTTAAAAATATTAATATTATTATATTTGATTCATAAAAATAATTAATAATTATAATTATTATTCATTAATTTATCTGTACTCTTAATGATAATTTTAAAATTTAATTTGTAATATTTACGTAACAAAAAAATTAACTAATAATTGATATAGTAATTAATTTTTAGTTAATAAATTAAAATTAATTAATAAATATTATTTTAGCTCAAGAGGTAATTTAATTAATTAAAATTTTTAAATTTTAAAAATTTTAAATTAAAAT